ACCTGAATTCCCACCCCATGACAGACAGGCCCACTGATGCCACCACACCTGACCCAACAGATATGACGAGAATAATAGCCTCCGGAATGCGTCTGATGTGCACAGTCAGGGCTATGTAAAACAGGGGAAAAATCATATGGCCTGCGCACAGGAAGATGAGTCCTGTACCTCCACGCTGCCTGATCTTGCTTCGCAGAAAACGGAATACCGCGTTTTCTCCGCAAGGCCGAATCTAGGAAGTGTCATTGTCTCCGGCGTCCAAGTACTGGGTTGTATTAAACCATACAATTCAGCATCTAGGAGGCGTTACCCTCCAACTGCAGGATACCATACTCAACTGAAGCAACCCTGTTGTTGCTTGCAACCTACGGTAAGCCTAAACCTACTGCTAATAGGGGCCAGACGGCGCACCAGCACGAAGGCGAAACTACTGGCGGTCACGCCATTTCGTTTTTTGAGTCATCATTCCCCTTATTGCTCTGTAGTACAAGCCGAGCCGCTCCGATGGAGCCATATATGGGAGTCCTGCACCCTGTTTTATATGTTTCACGTTAGCGTTGTACAGTTTGGTAGAGTGCTTGTACGTATTAGAGTGAACGTCACTAGAGTGGTTCGGAGCTGTTGCAATCCTGGAAAAGGCAATGAGCGTGTCCATCAGCAAACTTTCATGAACTAGCGAGCTGCAGCGCGGTGTAGCTGCGACTAATTTCAAACTTAGCACCAGAATGTCTCCAAAATCCACCACAATACTCTGAAAAAATTAACGAAGGAATCATGGCTCAACAAGCATATCATTTCTGGAGCCGTCAAATACATGTCGACGAGTTGAAGGCACCACAAAGCGGTCACACAAGTCGGCTTCGCAAGGCTACCAGAGGATTTGAAAGCAAGGATGACGAGCAAGAGGAACCCCACGGCTGTTCCCTGCTTCGCCTGACTAATAATAACACCGGCCCCGCCGCGGCACATGCCACTGTTACTTGAGCTAGCACAGCACTCCTAGTAATTTTGCAGGGCATGGTGAGTAGTGCAGGACCACGAAGTTTTTCAAACGGCGGCATGAACGATTTTGGTTCTCCCTCCAGCCTCCTGAGCTCAGCGCGAAGCGGGCGAGGCACAGGGGCAGTCGTAAAGTCACATCTATCCCGGATAGCGCAGGCGCATGCAGAAGAAAATACGCATGCTTACTCTCAACCCACAATGAATGACGGGACGCAACGTGAAGAGATACCAACCATCTGAGGAATAATTGGTAGAAACCAAATAAGCTGTGAGTCCCTTCAATATGCTTACAAATAGGGCAGCGAAAGGGTTGACAGATGGCCAATAAATCCAAGGGAAGCCGTGAGAAAGTGGATAGCTACGGGCGGCCCGAGGATTAATGGCTACTATTTAGAGTGCAAGCGGCTCCTGGCTTGATAAGAAAGAGACAGAAAGCTGAATCCGTGACAATCAACAGACAGATGTATTAAGAATGCCCCGGTGTTTTACTCGTTATGCAGCTCTTGGTGAGGAGCGCATAAGGAGGCCCACTCTAAGATGGCTAAAGTACTGTTCCCGCTGTCCGCAAGGAGGCACAGGAGCAGCCCGCAGAGTCTCCACTATCCTCAATAAGGCAGGCGCATGGTAGCTGGCCCTTTTTGTGAGACTCGAGATTTGTTAGTTGCAGTTCAGCGCAGCTGGCGAGAGGAAGAGTTATTCCGTCCTTCCGGCCTGCCCTAATCCTATTCGAGATCTCCGCCTATCGGACGTGTTACGCGCTGCAGTATATAGGGAAACATCTGGTTCAGTGCTCCCTAATCAGACACTCGGCTGGCTGTAAGCATGTCCTATGATGGAAGCGGCAGCTGGGCAACCTTCATCACCCGCAGAGATAGAACTTTCTGCCTGCTGGTAACCACAATGGTTTCGCTCTGTTCGTATCGCACACAAGTTTTGCACTTGTTGGCTGTTCGCCAGTACGGACAAGTACATGAGGAAAGGCAGCACCTGAGATGCGAAGAGCTGGCGCCTTACGTTTTCAAAGGCCCTGTGCAATATCACATGCGCACCCAAGAAGATGAGAAAAAGCATAGCAGAAGGGAGTGCAGTTGTGAATGCAAGTGCTTACTACAGTTACAAGAAGCATGCACAAAATGCATGCTCATACAAAAGCATGAAACGTCCACCTGTCATCAGACGCACCGGGGAGGGTGACGACAGGGCAGTTCGGCCTTACCTAGTCACCATAATAAAGAAGAGAGCATACAGAGTTCGGCTCAGCATGAAGAACGCCACAACTTTGAAATCCCAGCCTACAAACGTCAAAGTCACTACCGTCACTACGGCAGACCCAATAGAGGTAAGTAGGATTGATACCTCTGGAATGCGCCGCAAATGGACAGTTAGGGCTAGGCTAAACAGTGGAAGGACCAGATGGCCTGCACGAAAGCATGCTAGAAGCACCAGAGGTCTTGAGTATACATGCCTCTATTCTGTATTAAAGCATGCACTAGAACTTCTCGACCCGACTAGGAAAAGAGCAAACTGCAATCTGGAATTTCTCTTGACATACTGCCAATAACAAAATTGAACTCCACTCCTTGGGGAATTTTGGTTGCTTCTGTGAAAGCGGGTCCTTTGGCCATCATGAAGCAGCCCTCCATCAACTCAGAGAACACGAAGGTCACGCTGCAATAGGCAAGCATGAAAGCAAGCGGATGCGCTGCGCAAATGTGAAGAATACCCTCCCTAAGCAGTGAAAACAGTTTAGAAAGCCCTTCTCCATTATCTGCCTATGCAATCAATGTCGAAAGCAATATACGTGGCCAGAGCGTACTAGGTCACTGCCTGGCCAAGGGCAAGAAGCTGAAATTTCCAGGCGTTTTTTCCCCCGCGCCGATCCATTAACTTCATGGGCAAAATTAGTGCCAACAGAAGAGCAAATTGGAGAAGAGGGCGCCACACGGCCGATAAAGTCCTTCTCCATGACGGCGTCTGCAGGCGAACTCCGAGGAACTCCAACTGTGCGGCGTTTTGGTGGTTGTATCTTTCGACCTGTGCGCACAATGGAAGGGAAGCAAGGCTTCTGTCTCCGGAGGGACTGGTGAAAGGAGCGTGGAAAAGCTCAGAAGGCAAAGGGATAGGTTTCCTCCACAAACACTGGTGCGCACTACCTGCGACAAGTGTGTTGTAGACCTGCAGCAAGCTACGCTTTCTGTGCTTACCGCCAGAGAAGCGCACTGCGCTACATATGCTTTGGTTATCCCAAACAGACACTGCAGGGCGCAGATGAGCAAATTTAAGTGGCACGTTTCCTTGTAGAAACCGACGATGTGCTCAGCCCGCCAGAGGAGATACCACCGTTCAATTGCACTGTCCTCGAATATTCCAAGCTTAATTTTAGGAAGGACAGACTGCAACAGAAACAGTAATAAACAATATATACATGGAGGACGTCTATGTCGAAGCCACGAACTCTCATTGTATGAGATTACGTGCCAAGCCAAACGGCCCGACTATCCTCGTGGGCACAACCACTTTCTTTCAGACCTTTTCGCAGACTCCGCAGTCGCTGGAGCGTTCTCTTCTTTCTTCTCTTTGGTGGCTCTCCGCAGCGCAAAGGTGCCGCAAGCAGGTGCACCACTGGCTTTCCTCCTGTACGCAAGGGCTGCGGATAGATACAAGAAACACCGGAAGCTCCTCGCAGCCTCACTTCACTTGTTCGTGTAAGACATACGTCTAGGTCAAATAAACGTCTCCGTTCCTCGCATACAGACCCCATGAGAGCAGCCATGTTACCGCGCCCCTCGCATAGGTCTGGATGCTGGAAGAGTGACGTTTATTTGGCCTAGAAGTATGCCTTACATGAACAAGTGAGGCTGCGAGGAACTCCTGGTGTTAAGTCAGGTGACGCCCTTCTACGACTTACCCACGTGGGCTCCTGTAAGATTTTCTAGGTCTGATTGAAATGAACGTCAACGCAAGACGCCTCCACCTGCGAAAACATTTGGCTTCCTGTGTTCTACAGGAGTTTTGGCTCTCGTCCGCCTGCGCACAAAACAAGTGCGAAGAAAAGCACCTCTCTCCTCCCTTTTACGAAGGTCACGCTGCACGGTCGCTCAACTCGCTCATTTAGGCAGTAACTTAATCATTCGCACACCCAATCATTCGATTGGGTGTGCTGTACTGGCAGTGACAGGGAGTCCAACTTAGTGCGTGGACGACGCGGATTTAACCCACCGTCTGAGGAGAACGGCGGGAGGAAGCACCCGAGGACATCTCAGCGTTAGGCTTTGCTGAGTTTCTAGGCAACTTTGGTGCAGAGCTAGAACTTCCATCTGGATGCACGGCACCCGGCTGTATACACAGTGGGAGCCCGTTCTTCAAAGGGGGAAGCAATCTGCATATTTCTTTGCAGCAGTCACTGGGGCTGTGCTCAACAGACACTGCTGCAGAGAAGAGCAACATTTGCCTGGCCGTTGCATCGACGGAATCACAGCCGTTTACAGCTGTGCAAGCCCGAGCGGGGAACTCCATGCATCTATTAACCCCAGTCGGGGCTTCGCGTTCAGCCTTTACTTGCGTGCTTTTCATTCCATATCCACATGGGCTTGAAACTTTACCTCCAATCGCCTCCGATAACCTGATATCCAGGTACCACTTGCAGTCCACGTAGCCGTAGTGACCGTTCGGCACCACAAACAAACAAGCCTCTTTCCCTTCGTTCCAAACCCCCGTATCTTCTGAATGGAAACGCAGAAAAGAATTGACGAGGAATAAAGCCGGCACTCCCCCATACTACCCCGGCAAGTCGAAACCGCACGCAGCCGCCTCGCTGTTTTGGTTCAAAGTAAACGGGATTGGGAGTAGGTACTTTCTAAGGGTATGTTTGCTGCACACCGCATGTAGACGGACACCGTTTGCTCGTGTTAAGGCGAAACGGAGTCCCTTGGCAGGGGGCTTTGCGGGAGATAAGGTTTACCGATTTTAGTGGCATAAAGCAACATGTCGTCTTTCCACAAAGTGAGTCGGCGCTTTACTGCCTGGAAAAAAAAAGGAGAGAAGCTGTCCATCTTTGTCCAATAGTGGCGAATGCCTTCCCTTTTACACTGCCCGGACCCCCTATGAAAAAGCTGTGGTGTCGAGGAGGATCCTGCGAGCCTATTCTTTGCGATCCGGAAGTGCAGCTGCTGCACTAGGGGATTCTTTTGCAGACGCAGGATATCGCCCTTGAGAACAGGTAGTTGACGACGGATGCGATGGGGAAGAAAGTACCTCGCCTCTTTCAGTCGAGGCTGTTGGGAACCAATGTACTTCGCGTCCTCCTTAAAATCCGTGCTTGTCTCGAAATATGCACAAATAGGCAGTGGTGAGCGCATTGGTTCCCGCAGCTGCCGGTAAAACACTTGAACCATGCGGTATCCCAGGTGGCCGATGACAGCACCAACAAATGACGCAAACGACTTCAGTACCAAGAGAAACGGGGGCATAACTCCCCATGCGAAGTCGGAGATGGTCATCATTACCAGAACGAAGCCTTAGTAAACGTGCAGCAAGACCACACACCCCATGCAAAGCGTAGACGCTATAAATCACCGACATAGTGCAGCACGTTGCTTCTACCACTGAGCGATTCAGAAAATGTCTCTCTGACGAAAACTCCACAGTCTACAGCGTACTGCAGTACATTTATGCGCCGAGGCAATGAATAACGTACCACAGCAGGCGTGCGTTTTCCAGGAGAGATGTTCGAAAAAGAAGTTGAACCCAACAAAGCACATGTGGCGCATGGCGCTTTCACCAAAGCGAAATGGAAAAAGGGAACGGGGTATGAGAATGGAGGTCAAGGAAAGACAAAGGAACCTCCACTTCGTCTGCTCGCTGTTAGTTAGTCTCGCCAAAGTCCAGAGAAGGACACATGCGCCAAAAACTACTCCCCACGTCACAAGAATTGCTGCAGAAATCACAGTGGAAGAAAGCCACAAGGGCAACACCCTAGAGTGCCATCAGAGGTTCACCTGAATTCTGAAGTAATTCCAGAACGAAAGCGCATATGGGGGTGTCTACTCACCAAATTCAATCCAAGGAGCATCGTTTGGTGGGAGAAACTCATTTGAGGCGAAAGAAAAACTCGAAGTCAGTACCATGAGAAGCGCAAGGCAAATGAGCCACATGTGCAAGTCCTCCGGCCTAATGAACGGAATACCGCCTCTGCAATTTCTCTTCCTCGTCATTTTCGCAGGTTAGACTTGCTGGAATTTCGGAGTGGCGGGGGTTAAGGTTTGGTCCGAGCTTGTCGCTGTCCTTGTATTGTATACATTCCATCTGTATACATTTTCCTCTATTCGTTCAAATTCTGGAAAATGAAAATGGGAAAGCCACGCATATCGTTCCGTAGATCACTCACACACTACGAACTCCTCCAGCGGTCCATCGGGCACTTCCCAAACGTTCTTTGCAGGGAGATGTACGGTGGGCGGTCGTTCCCTCTTCCCCGTAGAGTTTGTCCCTAACCCACTTCGGCTATTCCGGAGTCGGCTGGCAGGTGGTGTTTCACTCGGAAGCAGTGGAGTACTTTGAACTGCTTCGTTTGGGCACCACCGTAGACCACTGGACGGTTGGGATTAAGACTTAAGTAGGCAAGCGTATCATGCTAGTAAAGGGTTTTCCGCATTTCAAAAATGTTGTGACCCCTTTTGTTGAGGGACTAGTGGTACATGGCATACCACTGGTTCGATTCTTTACAATGAACAACACCTCGTGTGGGCCGAGCAAGACATCCAGCTTCGTGTCCATCGGCCGCCACGTAGGTGAAAGGCTTCAAGATAGAGTCGTAAGAGGCAATCTTTAAGCTCAAATTGAAGGAACACTACGGAAATGGGCGTCGGGAGGAATCAGGAAGACTGATTGGCGGGGTGAGGCGGGCTTGTGAGCTAACATCAAGGATGCCGGCGAAAATGCGCCTAACACAGATCGTAGTCGAGCTCATATACTCAGAATTCCTTCTTAAGCTCAATACTCTATTAATTAATGAGGTTTTAAACAATCAAAATCAACGTCACGTTTGCTAGAAGGCCAATGAACTGCCCCTTCGAGCCGCTCCCCGCTGCCGCTTCGGCTGTGGGGTTTAGGAATGGATGGAGCAGGCACCTCCGATGAAAACCCCCACCTACAGTAGGAAAAACACCGTATTACTACATTAAATAACAAAAGACAACAGCTGCATTATTATTTCCTGATGGAGTTGCCTTGTTGACTTTTCCCAGTTGAGATCGGTGCAGCGCACGAGCAGGAACCATCTCGTTTGGAATAGGAAAACGCTCAACTGCCAGTTACTCCAGGATTTCTACCACGTAGCGTCTGCATCGGGATTTTTACAGCATGATCTAAAAACTCCAGCACTGAGAAGTATTGGGATTGTTGCTGTCTACTCTACGTTATGCAGCGCAGGGGGTTTCGATGTGCTCGCCTGTCCGAAACGGGTTGGTGGCAGCTCGACACAAGCTGTCGTGCACTACGAAACTCACATTGCCGCATAACACAGAGTAGGTAGCAACTATCCCAATACTTTAGCGGCGAACTGTTGCCGTGTTCTGCCTTCACAATTTCAGGCCGACCGGACCCCTCTGCCTGCTTGGGCGGATTGCGCCAAGGGTCCTCGATCTCAGTGCAAAACCGTTCTCATGACGGGAGTCCTCGACCTCATTCACGGAAAATCATGGCCTATAATAAAATTAGAGTAGTATAGATAAGAGTCTGCATAAACCTGGTGACCACTCCAGCCCCCAGGCATTCTGCGCACAGCGGCCCAAGGGGAAGGGCGACAGCCTGGCCGTGAGTTGCATCACACCTCACTGCAACGTTTGCTGCAAGGTAAAGCCACATGCAACCACAACCAAACCTCCTTCTCTGCATGCACTAACACTGTAAACAATTGTTGAACATTTACTTAGCCATCTGCAGGGTGCTTGCACTCATGTATAAATACATGTACAACCCCGGACAGAACATGATACACAGGGAGTTATCCAGAGGATTGTAAATCTGCAGGTGCTGTACCTCGAATAGAGGTATAAAGATCCAAACAGGTGCAGAGTCGCGCAGAAGCTCAGAAAAAACTTTCTGGGCGTAGTAGTTCCCTAACAGTTGAGATTGTCTGCCCATGCCACTCGTGTTTGCGTCTTTACCACTTTTTTCTTGTCTCACCTCTTCATTGTGTTCCAGTCTATTTATACCTGCTGAGGCATTTCACCTTCGCCAGTTAGAATTTCTGCAAAACTTAGTTTGACCCTGCCACACCCCCGCCCGTCTCCCTCTGTAGTGCGAGGTGTCATTCATCCTCCTACCCCACAGAGATTGGGAAGTTTGCCCGCCCATTCCCTTCACTGCCTATACAATCTATTGGCATGCAAGCAATGCAAATCATTATGCGCTGAGCAAATCCCAGCAGAGCCTCTCTGCGCCCTTCGTGGCCACGAAGCATTTTTCATGCATATCTCTTGCAACATCTAAAGTATTTCCGTACTGGAAAAACAATGGTTAGGTACGTTCTTTGTCAAACAATTTCGAATCCATTGTAGGTCCAGCGCTCTTGAAGCTTGATGCTGATTGACACTCGCTTGGTGCGCGGCGATGTTGACTCTAGTGTGTGAGTGGTGTTCTCTGCTCCTTGCTTCGACGGCTTCGTGTGATCATATGCCAGTCAATCAGCCCGCTTGCTGCAGGAAAAAGAATCCATTGCTTGGAGTTATGACCAAGCCCCTGCAGGTGTTACCCAAGCTGTGACGCGGCAGTATGCAGATAGCTGGCCCCCGTCGCAACTGCCACAAATTCGCCAGCAGGCTGCAGCGCGGGGCCGCTACAAGTCCATGAAAATACAAGAACACCGACAGAAGGACTTGCTGAGCTCGTACGGAGTATCCATACAGTCGAGCAGAGAAATGTCTTCTGATGCGTTTTTTTAGCACTTTGTCACATAGAGACCTACTCGCCACGCAATATCCCAGAAATAAGCACGACATTCTGCGCCACTCCGAAAGATAAGAGAAAACGGAGCAGCCTACACGCAGACAACCGCTGGAGGTGGCGCAGCCCCACGTGAAACACACAATGCACACTAAGCAACGGAAACACGCAACGCCGGTTCCCACACGACGATGCTGGCAGCAATGACACAAATGTGAAAAGAAAATCACCCGATCCACTAACACATACACGTAAGCCAAAAACCGATGCCGAAGGGCGCCTTGCCGAGAGCTGGCAGCCTTTATAAAAAGCCAACAAGAAGGAGATGAAAGGGTAGATGAAGCAATCAAAGGGGGAAGAGCTCAACTACCCGAAACACGGTTCTGCCTGCTGGAGTTAGTAAGATAAATACTCAAATAAATGACGATGAACAAACAATGCTGAAAGCATGACTATTAGGAGATGCACATCTTGGAATATTGCGAGCATCTGGCGTGTTGAAGAAGGCGAACACATTGCAACGGTCAGTGTTCCCTTTTAGTTTAATCGCTGTTTCTTGAGGTCCCACAAATTTACTTCCTTCCAATCTGCTAGTATAGACCCTGAAAACCGCTTTTTGCGCACCAGGATTCGTTGATCTCATTCCAGTAGATCTATCGATGGTAAAGAAAATTCAGGCAATTGCTTGCACCAGCAGCGCCTTTGCTTCCGCATCACTTCTGTGGGCCCCTTTACATTCTACTTAATCCATCCGCGCAAAAAAAACGTAGCTTTCGATCGGACTTGCGAAACTCCCCTCTTTACTTTTGTTGGGTCCAGACAATGGGCGGGCTGTAGGTATCATATGCTGCGCTTGCGCGGCCCTATTTACCGGCTAAGGCAGAGAACTTTCCGCGTGCTGGAAACCACAATGGTCTCGCTCTTTTCGAATGGCACATAAATTTTCAACACGCTGGCTGTTCGCCAGCGTCGATAAATACATCAGGAAGGGCAACACCTGAGTTGCGAAAAGCTGTCGCCTAACGTTTTCAAAGGCCCTGCATGATGACAGAACATAAACTTCAAGATACTTTACACAAATTCAGGAGGGCCGTGACACGTGCATCCAGATGTTCACAGCAGCATGCATGACTAAATGCGCGCATGCTCGTGTTCAACAGCACTCACTAGAATTCAAGATGGAACCGAAAAAAACAGAGCGCGTGGTTCTTACCTAACTAACATGATGGAAAACAGGGCGTAAAGGGTGCGACTGAGCATAAAGAACGCTGCGATCTTGAATTCCCAGCCGACAACAGACAGGACGACGATTGTCACTAAAGCCGAACCAACGGAGATAACAAGAATCGTAGCCTCCGGAATGCGTCGCAGGTGCACAGTGACGGCAATGCTAAAGAGTGGAAGGATCAGATGGCCTGTATGTATGCACGCATAAAGTATCACGACCGTCAAAGCCAACCTTCGGTAACAACGCTTCGTGCTCCATCTGCCGCAGTTGGTTGCACATAGAAAAAGAAGCTACAGCTTCCTCTCCCCGTCAGCTTAACTTACCCCCAACTACAAACGTGAGTTCCACACCTTTGGGAATTTTCGTCGCCGCTGTGAAAACGGGCTCTGTCGCCATAATGTAACATCTCCCTAGCAGTTCACAGAATGCGAACGCCGTGCTTCAGCAAACACGCATGCAAACAGCCGCACGCGCAGTATATATATATATATATATATATATATATATATATACATAATTAATGCAAGGCAGAAGAAACATGTAATGCTTACTATGTTACTGCCTGCCCGAGGGCTAGGAGCTGGAACTTCCAGACGTTCTTCCCCCCGCGGCTCTCCATGAATTTCATGGGCAAAATGAGCGCCGACAGAATTGAATATTGCAGTATAGGCTTCCACAAGGCGGCCAGCGTCCTTCTCCATGAAGGCATCTGCAAGCGTACACCGAGGAACTCCAACTCCGCCGCGCTAGTGTCATTGTACCGTTCAATCTGCGAAGGAAAGAGGGAAAACCACAAACGCATTCCGTCTGCCGTGTTTCAGCTGACACAAGACGATAGTAGAGGGGCACGAGTAGGACTTCCTCTCTCAGTATAAACCCCAGGGAGATCAGTTGCGGCAACAAGCAGTTCGTTAGCCAACCCTAGGAGAAGCATTCAAGAGCCTGCAATTTAATAGAATACTCAACTATTATTGTTACAGTTATCCTCCATGCTTACTGCCAGGCTAAGACACTCGACGACGTATCGCCGTGTCATATCAAACAAGCACTGGAGAGCGCAGATGAGCAGGCTGATGTAGCAGATTTCCTTGTAAAAACGAATAATATACTCTGCCCGCCAAAGTAGGTACCATCTCTCGATTGCACTGTCTTCGAACACCCCCCATTTCACCTTCGGCACGACAGCCTGCAGCAGTAACAACAATGGAAATCATGAAAACGCCCACTAAACCAACACACACTTACAAGCAAAACATTGTAAGGTATGCCTGCAGGTTATTGTTTCCCCACACGCCCATATGCCAAGACAAAGACCCTTCTGCTCCCCAATTGTTGCAACATCTTTCCGTGTTCATACCTCCTCCCCACTTCCGTTGCTGGCGTGTGGGTCTCTGCCCTCCACACTGCGGTGTCCTTCCACAGCCCAAGGATGCCGCAGGCAGCCACACGACCGAGTTTCTTCCTGTAGGCGGGGACTGCAACAGAGGACGGAGCAACAGGACAAGGTGGTTGTAGGACCGTGAGTGCATTGGCTGCCACGCTTTGAGACTAAAATGACCTACCACCTTGAAGCATTTGTCGATCTGACCGATCCAAACCGCCAGCCGAGACGCCTCAGCCTGAAGGAGCGCCTTCCGCCTTCGGCTTGCCGACGCTGTTGTGCTGCACCTTCCTGAGAAAAAGCCGACGTTCAACCCCCCATATTATAGAAGATCAAGACGATATCCTGACCGATTCATACTAGGAACTGATGACCAGAACACACCGAAATCAACTCACCCCTTCGGGAAAAGGCTGCGAAGTATCGGCGGGCGGAATCTCGTGAACATTTTCCTCGTTCAGCATCCTGTCCTCCTTAGACGGAAGTTGCCGAAAACACGAGGGTTGCATTGTTGCATCAGAGGCGTTTGTATCCGCGATGGTGGGCTCAAGAAGCTGCAGGCCATCGTGTTGTTGCAAAATTGCATTCTGCTGCGTGCCGAGTAGCGGCTGACCTTTGTTGCAGCTGAACAGAGACGGTGGTATGGCGCTTTCCGCTGACTTGCAGAGATCGCTAGGACAGTGTTCAAGGGATACTGCGCTGCGGAAGAGATATGAGTACCTCTCAACGGTTTTTACAGAGTCAATGCCCGTCAGGGCTGTATAAGCCGCTGCGGGGGAACGCATCCATACGCCAGCCCCGTTTAGAGCTTCGCCTTCAGATTGTGTACTTGCAGCAGGCAGAACTTTTCTGCTGTGCACAGCATTCTCAAAACGACAGCAAACACGTCCGCCGTATGCAGCTGGCAAGGTCATGTCCAGGTACCACATGGAATCCACGTAACCGTAGTGGCAGCTCGGCACCGCGAAAAGCTGAAGCTCCTTCTCCTTATTCCAAACGCCCGAATCTTCTGCATCAAAATTGTCACAGCAATCATCACAACGCTGCATACTGCTTGAAATCAAGATGAAGGGTTTGAAACTTCGTACTGGGGCCTGCTGTTACAGGGAATATCAGCCTTTACCGATCTCAACGACATATCGAAACATGTCATCTTTGCACAAGATAAGGCGGCGGTGCACGGCTTGGAAGTAAAGGGGGGAGCAGTTGTCGAGTTTAGTCCAGTAGCGCCGCGCTAAAGCCAAGGTGGGACTCGTTGCTTTTTTTCGAGAAAAGCCTCGAATTGGGGACGAGGCTCCCACGCTGTTTCTAGTAAACTGTAAGTGTCTTTGCCCAATGGAGGAGGGGTCTGCCGGTCGCAGGAACTCGCCAGTTGGAGCTGTGGTGTGCTGCCTATAGACGTAGAGTAGAAACGAGTGCATCGCTTGGTTCATTGCAGCCTTCGGGGGATCAGCGGACTTAATCCATTTGTCTCTGTAGCCAATATTTGAGCCAACGCATGCATAAGTAGGGCGTGCGGGCCGTTTCGCCTCCCGCAGTTGCCTGTAAAATACCTGCACTATGCGATAGCCCAAATTGCCAACAATAACCGTTATAACAAATGCGTAGAATTTCATCAACGCAACGAAAGGAGGTATTACACTCCAGATAAAGTCCGCAACAGTCATAATTATCAGCGAGAGGCCTTCGCACACGTACAGCAAACAAAGGAACAGCTACTACATGTACAAGCTTGAAAAAGACAGTAGCCCTTTTCGTTTTTGTATGCTTGCGGTAGTACTGACAACAGTCCAGAAACAAAGGTAACATGTTTTTGAGTAGCTGTGCACGATGGGGCTTTGCGCAGCTGTTGCGCGTGCATAATGTAGGAAACGGCACTAGACTACGCATGCAACATATCGTGTTGCGGGCCCCGTACCGCAGAATGTATTTGTTTTCCAGGAGATGTGGTCGGTGAAGAAGTTGAATCCCATGAAGCACATTTGATGCATTACAAACTCGCCAAAGCGAAATGGTAAGCAGGATCGAGGCACTAAAACGGAGAACAAAGACAGAGAGAGGAGCTTCCACTCGGTCTTCTCGCTGTTGAACAGGCGTGCCAATGACCACATTATGACGCACGCCCCAAAAGCAACACTCCAATTAACCACGATCGCTGCGAAGCAGAAAACGCACACCACCACTCAAATGAACAACGGCAGACATGTATACCGAAAATAAATATTGCAGGAAGCATTGTATCATATCTGGAAGACAAACCCTCACCGAACTCAACCCAAAGAGGGCCATCTGTTGGGCGGAACTGATTTGAGGCGAAAGACAGGCTCGACGTCAGGACCATTAGAAGTGCAAAAGAAATGAGCCACATGTGCAGGTCTTCCGGCCGAATGAATGGTCCTCCGCCTTCACAATTCCTGCCTCTTGCCATCTTCAGTCCTATTCCTTTCTTTAGGCCTTATTGTTGATAGTTTGGTCTAATGTTTCTCGCGCCTTTTTATCGAGGCATTCTCGGCTGGCCCCGCCAGCTCAGCAGGAACCATCGGTCGCCTCTCTCTGCCCCGCCGGGCAAATATAGGTGAATGAAGGAATGCAATGTGGTGTATGGGCTATTCGGGAACCCAAAGCTCCTCAACCGAGCCATGGGACTTTCGTCGGTATTCCCTGCAGCCGTCCGTCAGGCAGACGATAAGTAACCGATTGCCGTCTTATCGGCGGTATGGTCACTGCCCTTTGCAGCCCTTGCAGATCCTGCTATCAGGCGGAAAGAAAGAACTTTTTGTGCGGATGTGGCGGTGTAATTTCAACTTTTATGCGGACGCCCGTGGAGCCCATAAAAGCTAAAATTCTTGGGATGCAGAACGCCGCTCAAGACGATCTCCCAATGTCAGTAGAGGCACTGCCGGTTTTCACGAGCATTGTCTTTTTAGTCGAAACAAAGGTGATGTTGCGCATCTCAGAGACGACCACTGATACCCTTCAGCTCAAAGAACGAGCCGTTCTCGTTTGCATCGAGCAAGGCCTGCATCGAAGGCTGCAATCTGTCAGCCTCAGTAGCAGGGGACACCTGGAGGGTAAGTTGGAAATGAACCAAAATAATTGCAAAATAAACAAAACGCATCGCAAATTTCGCTCGAAAAGCCCAGAATCAAGAAGATTGAGATGGACTGACCGGTGCTCCCCGAGGCTGTGGGACAGCTACGCCGGGAACTTCGGTGCGGTGGGGGGACTCTTCGCTTTCTCCATTCCATAATGCTCCCACTTACACCAAAAGTGTGCCTTTGAACCACGCGTCTTTATGGAGAACATTTTTAAGGGAAAATTAGCATCGTATTTGCATGCAGGCTAACGCAGTATGAGTCGACAAAATCTACACCCCCTAAGGTCTCAATACCGGGACATGCATCGACGGCGACAGCAACCACGAGGAAGTGTCCCACATATCATGAAAATATTGCTCCGCAACTCCAAAAGCATGTAATCAAATAAACAGCTGACGTATTGGCTTTCCTATTTGGATGCTTCAACCTATCGTTACGGGTAAACGGGCGCCAAGGCGCACGGAGCAGGATGCCGTGTGGGGGCAAGTGCAGCGTGCCAAGCATTAACAAATAAATCCCATTGCGACGAATAGTCACTTCCCTACAAAATAGGCTTCCAACTGTCAGCACACAAGTTGCTTCCATGCATGAGAGGCTACGCGGGTATCCCGCGAACGGGCCGCCGTGCACTGCGATGTTATCTCCATGCTGTCATATATCTAGCCGCAAGCAAGTATCGTAGTCCTCAATGTCCACTCTTCTGTGGAAGCGTATATCTGGTCATGCATTTAGCTGCAAGGAAGCATCATTTCCACATAGTCCACTTTCCTGTGAACACGGACATTCCCATCGTGTATTATGGGTCTTTATTATGGCTCTCAAGAACTGAGCCAGAGGGCTCAGCCTGCCTAGGGCGCTGGCTCAACACAATTTACCGAGAACTTGTCTACAGTGCAACGCTCATTTTGCACAATTTCTAGGGCAAGTGTGCATGTAGGACGCTGCAACAGCAGTTTACGGGGAGTGGTGGCCTTTCGTCGAAAAAGATTCAAAAATGTCAAAAGAAAAGAAAAAGGCGCTTCCTCGGTCGTTCACCCAACATCTTCTACAGTCCTCAGATGTCCATGCTACAATTTGAAACATTTCCAATCGACTAAATACTAACTCTATTAATGAATAATCTCCAACCCCCAACAGCAGGGGGCAGCCGGGGCTGCTGTTGTTTGCGGGCACAGCCCCTGGATTGGTTTCATTCTTCATTAGGCCGCCTTGCATGTCCGCGACCGGCAGATGGCGAACCTCCAACGATAACAAACAGAACCAGATCTAGTTGTGTCGCGTTCCCCTCAGAACTATACGTAGAAGAAACCGCACGTTCACTTAAAAGTCGGCTTTTGGACGTGGCGCTTTTTCGGTGGCCGATGATCCAGTCCCACAGCATCTTGCACATTGTAAATACCTGGAGGCAACCCCGACACGGACCAAAAGAAGCTCAGGCATGCTGCATGCTGCCGATGCATACACAAGGCATTCACGAATTTTACTTCCCGAAAGTAGGACCGTTATGAAAGGCTACTTAAGAAAGTGCCACGTAAACAGCGTCACGGCTTGCCTGCTTGGTTCAAAATGCTCAGAAGTTCATCCTTGATTCTTCGAGCCACCACAGGACCCCTGTAGATCTGTGCAAACGCAACAGCAGCTATACTATGGTCTCCATGCAGAGTCGCGTCAAAGCCGCCCCCGGGAACACTTATACCTTAATCCGGTGCATGGGCCAAACGAGGGGGACTGAACGGTTGATCATGTAGGAGCAACTCAGTGGCGCTTTGGGTCGTACCAAGGAAGAGTACACCTCAACTGCGCTGGCGCCGGCTCTGATTCTCTGGTAAGCATCCAACCCAGTTTCGATGCCCCCACTCTGTGTCGCATAGCAGCAGAAACTGAACTAATGATGCGTTTGAACGGAATGTGTAGCGTATTGCAAATACAATAGTGTACTGTGCTGACTGCTTCTTCTGTACTGACCCTGGTATGAGAAGTCAGCCAGGAGAATGGGAGGACAGCAACAGAGCCATTGAACTCCCGTTCTAGTGTTCTCTACACTAAGCTCACAGCGATGATTGCGACTTGGCCGTTGGTCATCTTGTACATATCCGAAACGCACTGAGTCGCCATGGCCTTTAGAGGCCTACCGCTCAGGCCCCCCGTCTCCTGTTTACTTTTGCTCTGAAGGGACTCTGGGCGCTGGATCTGCAGGAAGGCAAATACCTCGACACAGTGCACAAATTACAACCCGAAGCGGACTTACGGAATCAACTGTCCTAAACCAGAAGCCGCAAAACGTGTACCGAGCACAGTCTCCCGATCAATAGTGGTGCGCAAACGCAAGACCCTTTGGTCAGCGCCGTGGGGTCGCAACTGACGCAGCCGCTGTGAAACGTAAGGAGTCGGTAAAACACCTTCACCAACTAGCGGTTTAGGGCCATGTCCGTATTCCTTACGGTTGTATTTGTCACAATAAGCCCGTCCAGGCCCGTCTCAAGCGCCTGCAAACATGAGAAGGAACAGCCGCTGTGCGTGCACAGTAGCCAGAGCCGCAGTAGTGTCGAAGCACCCCCCACTGAGGGAAAATATGAAAATTTGCCTGTAGCGAAGAAAAGAGGTTGAATAGAACTTACGACATCCGCAATATCCCGTTTCTCCTGATCCGTCAAATCTGGCTGTTAACCCAGATGCATAAACAAAGGCACACAGGAATGCCCACACCATTTCAACTGGTAGTGAATGGAAGCTGGAACTGCCAGAGTGTCTGGCGTGCTCTTGATGCTTTTGAAGAGGACTTGCACACTACTAGCACCGTAAGCAACGCGGGAAGGTGAAACGTCCTAGTCTAGGTGGGGCTGTTGCTGCGGTTTCGTAGTGCTTGGCTCATAAGGCTGCCTAACCGCGATTTTAACAAACAGGAGCGGGCGCCTTCCTGTTTGGGTCGGGAAGAAGTCGTGAGCCTTGTGTGCGATATCGTGTGGCGCATGGTTCGCTCTCTCCTCGACGCCTTCGGGCTGGGAAGGTTTAGTCTCGTGTATCTTCTGCTTCTGCTCCAGCTTGTCTAGTTCACTTTGTGCGGCGACGATGATGCTGCGGAGGTGGTCCCGCTGCTGCAGGGCCCGGAGTCCTTGTGTGTTAGGAGAGCTCAGATTAATGACTAAATAATCGGCAAAGCGACCGACGCGTCTGATCCCTTCACGGATGTCTTCTTCCGCCTGTTCCGTGTCCTTGTTTTTGCCTGAGGGAGCGGCATCCAGATGTTCTTCTTTATCGGCCGGTTGCCATTCGCTGGGCATCAGTCTGTCACCTCACCCAAGCACAAGCGCGCCCAACTCTTGCCTACCTATGTTGACACCTAAGACACAACGCCGCGCCAGGCGGTCTTGCCACCGGTCGACCGACGCCCTCTTCAGGCGGGGCTCCGCGACGTCTAGTCCAGCGCTGCGGAGACAGTGGGCATGAATCCATTGTGGGTGCATTTCGGCTGATAGTTCACTCTTAGAAACATCCCCATTCGTCAGATTCTTCAAAGAACAGCAGGGATCACAACTGAGTTGATTCCTACGTCAGCAAGGCCAAAAGTACTGGCTACGCATCGACTAGATCGAGTTAAACTTGTATAGCCCTCACCTGTTGAAGCCACAGCGATTTATTATTGCCCGGTCCTCGGTTAAACGAAATATGCGAGGCTTTGGGTTGCCGGGCTGCGGCTTAGGTGTGATAGTCCCAACTTCTACAAAGCCGAATCCCATTCTGTGGACAAGGCATATGCATGAGTGGATGCATCCGTTTTATGTGCCTGCAACCAGCATACGGTTCCCAGGCTAACTGTGGACTTTCAGAGCAGAAATGGGACCAACATGCGCACTTGCAGAAGCCTAAGGGGGCCTGAGCGTCCTTATCGAAGCCCGCCGCCAAACCGACCGGGGTGTGGAAAGTGACGCCTTTTATATTGACGCTGAGCTCGGGATCATCCCTGAAGCACACCGCCACAAATTACAGCTACCACTAAACGGACTTCGCGAAGTAAGCGGCACAACACCGTTGCGTTCGCTCTTTCAAGTTCCCTTCAAGCTTCTGGCCAGCGCAAACGGGCGATTAGCCATAAGACTGTAATAAATCCCCAACAGTAGCAACCGGTTTATGAAGAGGTGCAGGGTAGCCCAGGCATCAGCAATAGTAACTACTTGAGAGCGTAGTTCCTGTGTACAAGATAGCTTTTCCGACGCATATGCATGGAGATCCAAGTGACTATGCGACACGTTGTCAAATAGATAACGCCACAGAGACCCACACTTTCGCTTTTGCAAGCATCAGTACATGGCTGCATCGGTGCAAGCGTGTACATGCATGTGCGCGAAAGCGCAGGAGGCGTCGCCAATATCACCTTTCGAGATCATAGGGTAGGTATCCCCGGGCGGCCAACCACATGACAACGTGGTGAGCCATCTCTGGGTCTGGAAAGTTTTCAGGGAGCAGTTCATAAAGAAGCTCCAGCAGACCGTCCATGTGACGTATGAAGCCCGAGCTGACGTCAGAAGCGGCGTAGGCAAGATACATTAGCGCTCCACCAGTCAGAAGAAAGCCCAGCAGCATTTTCTGCAACATGCAACCAACAACAACACGAAGTAGATATGTTCGAAGGCCTTGATCTCCAACATCGGTTTCCAGGCATAATCCATCTTCCCGTGCATTCTGCATTTACGCGTGGCTGCAAGCATACAGGCATCAACACGTAACTGTATCGGATAATGGCTTGGCCTGCGTTGATCGATAGACGACTTCACTATTTCTGACGCAGAAGGCAAATGGGGCAGCAAGTGACTTCTGCGTGGTATTTTTATTACCCCATAGAAATTATTTCTTTTAATGAGTTTCCTTCTTTCTTTTTCAAGGTCCTCCATATCAATTTCGACTAGACGGGGACTGGGAGACCCGGGAACGGCAGAATCTGCACGGTCAGCCAACGAACCATCGCCGGTCACAGGCCTCGTTACGAGCCCGTCCGCTGAGGCAGCAGCATCTCGGCCCGTGGTCGTGGCTATGCTTCTTTGAACGAAGACCGCCAGTGTCTGTTGTTTACGATGTAGCGAGCGGGAAAGGATGGCTTCGCGCAGTTCCGGAGAGGGCGGAAAAGCAGCCCCCTTGCACGCAGTATACGCGGTTGTCCGTAAGTCCGATGATTTACTCAGACTCAGCAATAACGGGGGACAAGCTTGGCTTGGCCTGGAGAGTTGCGGCGATTCGCCGCAAACAGGCTTTGAGTTCAACAGAGTCGACGTCCAACGTACGGAGAGTAAGGTCCTGAAGTGAATACGACCTGCGGAGTGTCCAAATGCCAGCAGATGCGACATGGTTGGTTTCTCGAGACGGCCTCGTAAGACTACAGACGGATCCAACTTCCCATCTGGCGTATCTACACCACCTCAGGCTATCTGATAATTAGATTTCGCGTTTCCAACCAGAAGGCATTCATAATACTTCAGAACAGGGAATCGCGGGTTCTACCATGTCTGTGCATGCAACGCATGATCGCCATCAAAGGCAGCCACTAGACAGGTGAAAAAACCACTGATCTCGGAACAGCAATGGAAATATGTAAAAACATTCCATATGGAATGAGGGAGGCGGCATTTAGATGTTTTGTGGAGCTGGCGATCGAGACCTGCTGAGGTTCGGGGACCTCCAGCTGGGCCCCTCTTGAAGTGTGTGTTTCTTAGTGAAGCGGCTTATTTGAAACAGAATGTTTTAAATCGTATTTGAGAGCCGCAGAATCGAATGATTTTGTTGAGTTTCGTGATAGGCTGCTGAATTCCCGGTTGAAGCTCAGTGGCAAGGACCCCGTTTCGAGTAGACGCCGCATTCATCTTCCTTCCGCCTACCAAGCGTTTCTGCAGCTTGCGCTTGCTGCTGAAATGGACCGGAAGGAACGCTCCAGTTGCCCTTGTTCAGCCACACCTACCCAGAGCGATCCAACTCGCAGCCGATGCGCGAACGGTCGAGTGCTGCCTCCCAGTAGAGAACAGATGGGAAGAGCCTCGTGGAAGGTGCTGCATGCAGCTGCAGCTCAATTTCCGCATGAACCTGTGAGTATACCTGCCGTCCGTTACGTTTCAGCTCCACTGCATCCATGGATGCTAGTCGCCACGAACTGTCGTTCTGTACAAGGCGGTCAGTGATCGGCGGCGTGGGCGAACGACGCACCCATCTAAGGCATTCCATATTTGCTGGTTTTGTGTGTTGAGTTGTGCAGAGTACGGAAGAGCGGCGAGCGACGCTGAGCTGGTTGTTGTGTTTTTCGTGTCTGTACCCGTGTCATGTATGCAGAGAGGCATTCCTGCCAATCATTAGAAGCGATCCCCCGATGCCAACCTCCCAGGAAGCTCTGGTTTTCTGGGCCTGCCGCGTTCACAATGCGGTCAACGAAGATCTGTCCCTCCCATTGTTCAACTGCAGCGATCGCCGCCTCTACATGCAGTGCCAAAGCTGAAGCCTCTCGAGATGGCGAAACTTAATGAACTGATTCGTCCCATTGCATGGTGCAAAGCAAAGAAGTTTCGTTGCAAAGCTTTGCGAGGGAGAAGGTAGGATGTGCCTGTATGTTGCCCACGTCCATCAAGTCCATTAAGAAGAAAAACATTACCTCTGGTCATGAAGCGCCGTGGAGGCAGTTTTCACGAGCCTTGTTTCTAGTTTGTGCGCCTGCTGCCGCATGCATTTGCATGCAGGCAGAGAGCTACATGTTTTTTTTGGGTGAAACCAGCGCCAAACAAAAAAATGAAGTGTTGAGCGTTGTGTCAATGTGCTCGAAATCGGCTTGTTCGCAATTGGCCGGACCGAGCTCAGGCCAATGTGCTTTCATTTTTACTACAGTACTTGAACATTTTTGTTTTCGTCAGACTTTGTATTAGTCCTGTTGACGGGCAGCTGCAGCTGCCGCTGCGACACGAGACCCGCCTCCTTAAAGAAACGGGAGGGATTGAGGGGATGATTTGCCTTATCGGCCAGGGGAGCCGTGAGGAGCAGAAACCGTTTAGCCCGTGTCAGTGCCACGTAGCAAACCCGCCGCTCCTCCATGAGGTGAAAATGTTGTTCGTTTCCTGAGGCTTGCCGCACTATTGTTGCTTCCGCTTGGCGCAGTGCTTCAGGCTTCGGCGGTTTCTCAGCGAAGCTCGCAATCAAACGACCCACGAAATCTGCCAGCGGCTGGTTGCCACCAAGCCCCATGGGCAGCGTCCTGCAGTGCATGCACACGGGTTCGAAGGAAAAAAGTATATGATTAAGGCTGATGTAAATAAAAGCCAGCATCCTGCAGCGCATGCGCGCGGGGTTGACTCAGCAACTGTGTGAGCAGATACATCCATATAAAAGCACAACGGAGACAAGGGTGTACCGGCACCTCGTGCCGGAAAAAGCTGCGAGAGACGAGCAGGGGCAGTCGTACCCTTCGTTGGCTCTTGCAACAATAACTACTTGCCACTCCAGGCCTTTGGCTTGGTGAATAGTAGAGAGCGTAACAGCATTCGTGGCTTTTTGCTGTAAGAACCGTCCAGCATCTGCATCTCGCAGGAGTCTGAGGATGCAGTCTGCTGCTGTTGCCTGCTGCCAGTTGGGTGAGTAGGCCTCTGCAGCTCGCAGCAAGCCGAGAACATCTGCGAACACTTCCGATCCATACAACTTGGACAGTTCCCGCAGGGAGGCCTCCGTTTGGGTGTCCGCTCCTTTGATGTCTCCAGAAGGCTGCGCGTCATCCGAAGCCGCTGCTTTCCTTTTGCTACGGCGTGTCTTGCCGCCTGCCGCAGCAGCGCCAGCAGACGTCCCAACGTTCTGCAGTTGCGGAATCGCAGAGTCAGCCGTGCCACCGGCGCCTTCGCTTTCTGCGAGGCCTCCTCGACGCGAGCGCTGCGCATGCCTTCTATGGGCGAAGAACTCACCCAACCCCAAGGGACCAAGCAGGACCTCCAGAACTGCCTTGACAGAAACAGGCGAGTCTGACATGGAGCGCAGCCTGTTGATTGCCTTAGCAAAGGATGCCAGGGACTCCACCTGATTCGCACGCAGTCGTGCAGCCTCAGTTGCTGCCACTGCATCTGCGTGTGCCGGGGGCATTTCCGGGATTTCATCTTTCACCCCGGCGGAACGCAGCACACGGCACAATGCAGCAAAGAGAGACACACACAGAGGGGTTCCGCAGAGTATCCTTTGAGCGCCTGGAGCCCACGGGACGTTTTCCCAAGGCATTTCAACGACGCTGCGGGAGATGTCTGGCTCTGCAGTTGAATGGTCAGCGGATGCGTTCTGCACCCGCTTTAGAGCCAAGAGGGTCTTTGCCCCGACCCGCCTCAGCGGCCTGTTCAGCACGCGAATAAAGGAGGCGTCATGGTGCGGGTCGACTGCCAAACGGAGGTAGGAGAGAAGGTCAAGGACATCCGGACGTAAGAACACCTCCGCCCCTGCATTCCTTCTTGAACTCGTGCTGCTCAAGGGGAGGCCCCCAACGGGCAACTCCAGATCCGCCAAGCCCACGGCTGGAAACAACACCGCCGGGTCGACAGGTCTGTTGGGGTCTCCGAGCGCTAAGCTGTCTTCTCCGTCATGCGCTGATTTTGAAGAGAAAGGAAAAGAAGGCAAGCAGGCAGCGCGTTGTATGCGGGAGTTCATCAGGAGGTTCTGGAGGTCCAATAAGGCGCTGTTTGTGCGGCAAAGAACAGCGAAGTCATCCCATCGCAGGCTGTAATGCTGTTTTAGACAGAGAATATACCTCAAGATATATTGCGCCTCCAAGCTCTGCGAAGGCAGAAATGCCCCGTGTACGTGACCTTCCGGTGGACACTTACTGTCTTTTATGCCTGCATCTCTGGTTACGGGGCCCTCCCGCTCCCCGCCTATATCAATATTTGCATTGCCCTGAGGAGTGGAACTGCGGAGAAGATGCTCATCCCCGGGCGAGTCATGAAAAGAGTACAGTGCCTTCGAAATGCGAAATGGCCAGTTGAAACTGACGAGAGACAAACTGTGACGCACCACCGCGGGCACGGAACGGTAGTTGCAGGCCAGGAAAAACTCTCGGTAGTCGGGGAAGTTGCGCTTGAATTCGTGAAATATCTGGATGAACAACAAAACCGGAGCTTAGGTACAATGCACAAAGCTGGAAAAGCATCGCAATAGCTACCTCAGACACTCAGCTAGCTAGCTAGCTAGGTTAAGGCTGCGGGGCCAGTCTTACCCCTGTATGCGTGCCTCTCCATTTGTAAATAGACTGGTCGTCATCTCCTACGACGGTAACGCCTCCTCGCCTCAGTGTAGAGTTTACGAGGGCAGGAGCCCCGGTTGCAGTGTAGGCTGCATGTGTGTTTGGGGGCCTCTGCAAGGCGAGAAGACAAATGAACTTGAACTGGTTGCTGTTCGTGTCTTGGAACTCGTCGACGACCAGGTAGGGCCATTGTGCGCCCAACTCGGCGCGCGCTGCCGGTGGTTCTAGGAGCCTGAGCGCCTTAACGGTTAGATCAGTGAAGTCCAGGAGGGGCGGTTGCTGCTCCCTGAGGTGTTTTTCGTACTGAGAGAACAGGCGAAAGAGCACCGAGCCAGCCGACCGTTCTCGCTGCAGCAGCTCGGGAATGAACTTCATGCTCCGGATCCTCTTGCGGAGTTCCTCCGCCTCCTTGCTAGTGGAACTGTTGAAGGCGCTGTTGTCGAAGCATTGGAAACCAGACACTCGAGCATCTCCCTCATCATCTGAATATCCGTCGTCCTCCTCGCTCGACACCTCCGGGACATCTGGACTGCCGCGCAGCGCTGCACTTATGCTCCGAGCTCCCGAATTTCCAAGGCGCCGCGCCTCCGCTCTTTTCTCATTGTCAATGAGGGTGCGAAGTATTGACAGCTGTTGAAACTGATTGAGAACCCGAAAGTCGCGCGGAACCCCTACATACCCTCCATAGCATTTAAGGAGTCTCACAAAAAAGGAATGGAATGTTCCTACAAACAGATCCCTCTCGCCAATCTCGCACACACCCACATTGGGGCTCGAGCCACTCGCCGGTGTGCGCCGGTCCTTCAGCACGCCTTCAAGACCTCCGCGGACGCGGCGCTCGAGTTCTGTGGCGCTCTTTTTGGTGAAGGTCAAAGCAGCCAGAGGCCGACAGCCTTGTAGCAGCAGACCCACAATGCGCGCTGTTATTGTGCTTGTTTTGCCTGCCACAAGCACACAAGCGGAGGCAAACAATGCCAATAGCTGGATGCTAAAGCCGTAGATCGGCGACCTGGGTTGATCGTTAGGACAAACAGTATTCAGAGGCAAATAGCCCGTCAACAGCAACAAAGAAAAAGATAAGCGAACTGGCGCATGCACAAGACTATGACTGGAGCTACACGAGCCAGAGCATCCAACATCGCCTCTTCTGCACCGTTGCAGTATCTGCTAATCTCAGGCAATGACGCTGCTGCTGCGCAGGCAATCCCTCCTATCTTTACGGGCCGAATCTTACCTGCTCCCGGACCGGCTAGGACGCATACGCTGGAGTGTGGTGGTGCGTTGACGACTTTTGCTTGCTCTGGAGACAGGGCCCCAAACAACGCTCCATGCTGCGGCAGAAGAGATGGCGAGCTATTACTCCTGTTGCTTGTATACTGCATTTCTTCTTTTGTAGCTGCCCCTGCACCCGCCGATGCCGTGTGCAGCGTGGTCGAGTGGGAGAAGGAAGGGGCGCAACTGTCAGAAGAGGGGCCCCCTGATACTTGTGAAACACGCTGTTGCTTCAGGGGCTGCTCATGATCTAAAGGAGGCGCCGGACCGCTGGGCGCAAGCACAGGACCCCAGCCGCCCCTGAGGCAGGCACCCTCAGTGGCAACACCATGCTTCTGCGGCTGAGCAGCAATCGGCGAGGGCCGAACCACAGCGCTGTGTCGGGTTACAGCAGTGAAGTTCGAACTGCTATCAAGATAGCTGCCGCTGCTGCTGCTGCTGCTGCCACTTGCGTTGTTGCTGCTGCTGCTGCTGCCGCTTCTGTTGCCGCTGTTGCTGTTGCCACTTTTGCTGCTACTGCTAAATGCAACAAATTGGTGTCTATCAAGATCTAGTTTTTCACGAGCAACTTCAGGCACGGGGCAGACGTTTGACCGGCTTGCCGAAGCACTTTGACGGTGCGCATGGTCCGGTTCCCGCTGCGACTGATGCTGCTGCTCTTCCTGGTGCTGCGGATGCTTACATTGATATTGCTGGTCCTGATGCTGTTCGCGATGCTGCCACTGCAGCTGGGGCTCGTGCTGGTGCTGCTGTAGTTGGTGCTCGTCGTGCTCTTGGTGGCGTTCATGTTGCTCTAGTTGCTGATGCTGGTGTTCTTGCTGCTGATGTCGGTGTCCTTGCTGCTGCTGTTGGTGTTGTCGCTGCTGTTGTGTTGGCTCTTGCTGCCAATGAACCGGCAAGGCTGTGCGAAGGACGAGTCTTGTATGTTTTCGAGTGTCTGCTGGCTGCTGCAGACGGCAGTTGGTCTCCCAAGGTCTTTTCGGATGCGGTGCACAGTTAAACATGCCCTCATCGCGAGCTGAGGATCTGTGATCTGTTCCAGTAGGAAGACCAAAGCCACCCTGGGGGACTGCTAAGCGGGGGCCTCCTGGCTGCGACTCAGCATGGGGGTATCTGTTGTGGTCTTGGGTTCCGGTTCTTTGGTTGACAGCTACACTCAAATGATTACTAGTATTATTTGTTGCAGAAGGAAACGTGGCATTGGGACCAAAAGGCGGCGCGAAGGAATTGTGTGTGCTTGGTTTGTTGTCTGGGTTGTGAAGCTGCTGCTGCCCTTTGCATGCGCTCTGGTGCCCCGGCGGCGGCCTGGGAGCTTGGGGGTGCGGGTGGGTCCAGAGAGGGGCCCCCGTCTTAGGAGTGGTCCCTGTTGGTGCTGAGGGTCTTGGATGCCCTTGAGACTGTACAGAGGGGGCCAAGGGCAAGCTGCATGTAATGTTGGGGGCCTGCTGCAGCAGCAACGCTTTCTGTGAGCCATCCCTCATCCTCCCCAGGAGCCACCGGGTGGCTTGCTCGGGGGCAGTGCTCCCCGCTGCTGCTGCAGCCGCATGATGTTGCTGAGACTTGGGCAGCGGATGAGGCATTGTGGCAATGCCTATTCCGCTTTGACAAGCACGTGTATACCTACGCCATTCCGTTCAAAACGAGCGCAGCACACTCCTGAGGTGCCGCCTAAGGGGTGGAAAAGGGGGATACAACGACAAGCGGAGTAGGAGGGGCTCGCTTAGCTGCTGAATGAGCAACACAGAAGTGGGATGATTTATATACGAACTCTTTTCGTTGGGAAATTCAATGGCTCGCGATGAACGTAGCAACAGCAGGGTTCAAACCGACGGCAAATGGCAGGCGGATGTGGGCCTAGCAGCTGTTGGAATAACATAAAGAAGCTGTAATCGACACCTTACCAAAGGTGTGCTGAGGCAGATGTACGTTTTTTCCTCAGCGTTTCGACGAAACAAACTCTTGGGGTTACCACTCTAAACAGTCCCATGGCGAGCAATCAACACAGCCGTATATATATAATATCATCGTGGAAACTACATATGAAAAAAGAAACGAAACGCTCTATAATTAGTCTCTTGTTGAGCAGAACTGCCTATGGCCCCCCCACCCACCAGAACAACACCCAGCCCTAACGTTTGGGTGGTTGTTTGTCTTGTGGTCTTTGCTCGCTGAAATCAGTTGGTGGCAGCATTCCTTAAAAAAGCTGCTTATAGATTCACATTTTGGAAATGAATTGAACAAGTGAACCTATTGTACAGCTGATAAAAACACCGTTTCCATCCACGGTGTGCCGACACGCACAACTGAGTGGCATCGATGCTACAGAACTGCATCGTCCCCCTTCTTTCTTCCTGCACGCCCAAGCAGCTTAGTGGAACTCCAGTTAGAGGAATTTCAATATAATAACTGCCAGAACTCGGTTGCTGCTTTTGTAATGCCTCGCTTAGTTTGTTGTTTTACAACCAACGAGCTTCCCGCTGATAGTCGCATCGCAGGCATAATTAGTTGAGGCAGTTCACTTGCAGATTACCCCTCTGGCATTGACTAAACCTCCTCAAGGTACACCTTTCGAACTCGAATACACGCACCCCGTTGCCTGAGACCCCACTGGGGTTATGGGCACACCTCGTATCTTCTATATACCTACACTTTTATCTCCGGCTATATATAGGTTTGTCAATATCACCTGCCATAACACACGTTGGATTAATCTGGTGGCACTGCCGTCATCCCTACGGACCTCGTGCTTGATCACTCTGTAACGACGGTCGTCGACCGTAGCCAACGACCACCTTTAGCTACAGAAGAGTCAAACTACATGTCAAAAGAGTGTCAGAAAAGCTGCTGACATGCCGTTTAGTCTCCAGAGTTCCTGCTCACACCGGCAGAAGGGACTCCGCCTGCTGCAGAGTGGGCGAACTGTCAGAAGTTGCAGCACGGAGTGCTACAACCCCTGCGTCAGGCAGTACCAGACGCCAGCTTACCCCACCCGCCTTTTGATATACGCAGTAAAACTATAGAGAATTGGCGAACGCTCACTTAGCCCTCAGCACACAGCCTGGGCGTAAGCAGAAGCACGTGCATCAATCTCAGACAATGATACGTCTACCGTTCCATTCGGCACTTTGCAAAAGGCAGATGCACTGCGAGGACAAGGGGGTCGCCAGAGGGGCCTTCACCCCGAGCACAGCGAGGGAAAAAAATATTATATGGGGGGAAAAGGTGACCGGCATCGGCCGATTCTGTTTATTTTGTTCCTGTTGCTGCCGACCCGCCTCTCGTTGCCGCAAGCCCGTGCAGTGGAATGACTCTCGCTTACCCAAGGCGCTCCGTATTTTGTGTCGGGGCCCCGTGCGATTTCATGATCGGGGCATCCCAACCAAAGCAAAAAGATGTTGTGCCGCGCCGCCGACGCGAAACGGCAACTCGCGAGGCTGGGAGGCCAGGCAGCCCCAACAAGGAGGCTGCGGAATAGGAAGAAATGAAAGTGTTGTGAGCGACGACATACGGCTCCAGCAGGGAAACGCACGAGAAGCAACTGCAGTTCGCTCTTGTATGCACAGTGCGCAGGCTTCGGTGGTACCAACATGCTCTGAGGCTTTCTCGGTTTATTCGAAAGTTACACTTACCACTGAGTTTTACGATCAATCGCCCCAGTGACACTTGTGAGTTGAATCACTTGTTGAAGCACCAGGAGAAGCGTTTCTCCGTTTTCTCGCCGTGCAAACCACACGATGCATGCACCCGGTCCGCTGCATGACCCGTCAGTGTGTGGAAATCCACGTGTCGTGTGGATCACAGAAACCCCTGAGCCTCTAAGCACGCCCAAAGTTCCTTTCCTCTGCTGGTGGCACACGCTTCCCAAATGCAGAATGCAGTATACATATAGCATGCCAAGCATCCGATTAAATGTAAAGTAAATTGCAAGGAATAGGCGTTTACGCCTTGTACTGAGGCTAGGAAAAACCAGTAGAAATACAGCTGCGAATGAAGCCGCTCTCGCAAAGGCGTCTTCCTACTTCCCTGGACAGACGCAGTGAAGTGCTACTAATGAACCGTGCTGAGTAAAGAAGGGCTTTCGCGGTCTACTGCCCAGTCAACAGTAGACAATGAGATCAACTATTCGGGATTGAAACTGCCTCTAGAAACAGCAGTTCGGAGAAAAAAGAGACACTGACAGCCGCGGTGCAGTATATTTGCCTTACGCAATCCGTCGTCGTTCGAACGAAGACGCACTCTCTCCTTCCTACTCTAACCGTTTTGTCTTATGGTGATTACTGTTTGCTACTCTCCCGTCTTCTTCGTCGGCTTCCTGAAAAGAGTGCCAGCTCTCGATAAGATGCCTTTCGATATCTTTTTCACTGATCTATATTCAGCAGCAGCTTTGGGGGTGCTACCTTCTTCGTCTGTTTTTTCTTTCTTCTGTTGACGGCGGCGCCTTGATTGTTTGATCTTTGCATGCTTCATTTTGGTTTCCTCATGAGTTTTCTCATTTCCATGAGCCGGCGACGCCTCAGGTGGCGAACTTACGGGGGAGTCTGTCCTTTCGCCGCCCCCACGATGATTCTTGAGGGCCGGCCGCACCGAACTCTCCCTAGCAGCTGTCACCGAACTCTCCCTAGCAGCTGTCACCGAACTCTCCTTAGCAGCTCTCTCGGGGGTTTTTGAAGACATTCTCCTTCGGAGGGTCTCATCAGGCGTCGCAGCCGCTTCACGCGGCCTGCGTCTCGGCGAACGGCTGCGCTTGCTGGCGTCAGGAGCAACGGCACCAGCCGTTGTGGGGCTAGGAGTTTCCAGCTGGGAAAGAAAGGAGGAGTCTGCGTGGCTCTGTTGCTTTTCTTGCTGGCCACTCCTCTGTTCAGCTCTTCGGCTTGACTCGCGATGGCCGCGTCTGCGGCTGTCTCTGCTGCGGTCTTGCTGGGAATGACGGCGACGTTCTTTGTGCGGCGAAGTGACTTTGGAGGGAGAATCATCGCTGCGCAAGCCTGTTGTTTTTCTGTGGGAAATTGTTGAGTCCCTTCGGTGTTGAAGCTGCGCTTCTGAAGAGTCACGGCGCCCTGCAGGGCGCTGGCGAAGGTTTGGTAGTTGCGCAGTGGTCCTGTTGATCGCTTCTTTCCACATTACAGCGGGTGTAATCCCTGCACATATGCGAACGCAATACAAAACATGCGTTTTCGACCACGCACATACTTATGTATCTGCACACAGCTCCCGCAAACACTGAAGCTTATAATAAAGACGGAACAAGTACATTGTTGCTACTGCTGCTGGTACTTGCTGGTGAGATGCATTTAAACAATGTGCAGGGACGTGAGTAACTTAGATCTGAAAACAGCGGCACGGCTTTTAGCTCACCTCGCTGGGCAGCGTAAGCATCAAGCTTCATGCGCACCCGATGGACAATAAGTTCGTGTTTGTCTACTATCATGGGCGGGCCGTGAGTAGAGCTCAGTCTACCAAGGCCAACTACCCAGCTAAGACCACATGCAATGCACAGCACCACCTCTGGCCCCAAAAAATATGTACAGTGTATATCTATATATATGCAAATCTTACAGCTGTTCAGCAGCACCCGAGGTGATCTAGGGAAAGGCTACACAGAAAGTGGTGCAGGTAAATCCACAACCCGTCAACGGATATGCCTTACTCCTGAGCGACATCGTCCGACTTGGCTCGGAATTCGAAGGTGTCTTTCAGCGTACGTACAGTAAAGCACCGCCAAGGATATGGAAACTGAGAAGATGAAGCCTTTTCTCCTTTGGGTCCGTGAAGACTCCACAAAAATGCAGAGCTCGAGGTCCCGAAGTCAATACCGATGATGTCCTGCGAAGCCACACAAAGCGATAGTCATGGCGCATTCAATATTGTTGAATCCATGCACTCACAAGCAACTAATTGCCAATGTGGAACAAGCTGAAGTCTGGTTGCTGCGCAGATTCAGTGGCGTACTTTGACACTGAATTGGTCTCCTTTCTTGAAGCCCCTCTTGCCTGCCAGGTCTTCAGTCCACATGACTACTCCTCGCTTGAACAGCTGCGCACGCATTCAAGAGAACATAATAATTTGCATTACCGTGCAATTAACATTCCATCCATCTGATGCAGACAGAAGTCCCGAAGAAACAAGCTGTGCATATGACGCAGAGCAAAACTGCGTGCAGAAAGAATCTGTGAACCGCCTGCACTGGGCCGCCAATGGCACCAAGCAAATATGGCCTTTTGAGGCCGCAAGAACATATATCATGGCTCCTGAGATACAGCGACGGGAGCAGCGGAGCCCGTTCACTATGTACGCTGCTCTTTTCAGCAGCCCTGCACGATTTCTATTAGTTTGCATATGGTTGCGAAAGAAGAGTTGAGCAACACACTAGAAGCTGAGACAACAGAATATTATGTAATGCACCCGCACCTTAATGTAACGCGGTTCAGGCCTGCGGTTGGCGGATTTGGTCAGCAGTTCAATAACCCCGCCAACGCGCATTGTGCGGAGTTCCTGACACACGGTCCGCCGGCTGCATCTGCCGTAGGCGGGCGCAGTGCGTATAATCCTTTTGGAAATCCTTCTGTTCTTTTGTGCTTGACGTTGCAATTTGCGGCTGACGGAGGAAACCTGCCGCCGAAGGTCGGCCGCCTCTGCCTCCCGCTGCTGTAAGTCGGCTTCAAGCTTCTTTCGCTGCTTCCCGGCTTGTTCGAACTCGCGTTCCAACACCGCCACCTCTTCCTGCCGAGCCAGCCGCAGAGCCTCCATCTGAGGATACAGTCCACAACTAGCAGACCGATGTGCATAGATGTCGTTCGCACTACTCCACAGCTGCAATGGGGAGCTCACTGAACTCTTTCACTCAAGGCACCTAGAGAGCACGAGCCTGCTAGTTTATTGCATCCCTGCAGGTGCATCTCCTGCTCCTGGTGGCGGACCTGCTGAGATAATTCACTGACAGCTGACGCGTCCGCCGCTCCTCGATCAAGCTGAGAGAAGACGGCGAGGGCTGTACGTTCTGCCGCCTCGAGAATTGAGAGAGCTTTGGCTTTTCTTTCTTCAACTTCCCTGTGCCAGGTTTCCATATCNCTGCCGCCTCGAGAATTGAGAGAGCTTTGGCTTTTCTTTCTTCAACTTCCCTGTGCCAGGTTTCCATATCCTGTTCCTCTGCTTCCGTCTCAGCTGAAAGAGCCTGAAAGTCCTTGGCGAGCTTTCGTAACGATTCCAGCTTGTCTTGTTGCAAGCGCGGGGCCTGCATTTCGGCGGCTTGCTGCTTCAACGCTGCCTGTGCGGCTTCTAAGGCCTCTCGGGTCTTGCGGTGCTCTTCCTGTTCCTTCTCGAGCAGAGTTGCGCTACCTTCTGAGCTCGCCATCAGCTTAGACATTTCTTTTTCCTTAGCTGCCAACGCGGCCCTCAACTCTTCCACCTGTTGCTCCGCAGCGTTCGCTCTGTCTCTTTCTTTGCGCCTCTGCACTTCTTTCTCCTGCAGGGCCCCAAAACAACAAATGGTCAAACGAACTGTACGTACGCTGTGCGTAAGCTCGAGTCTCACAGAAAATGGTGCAAAACGCAGGCGGAAAAGGCCTGTATCCATCTGCCTCTACCTTAGTCAAGTCGCAGTGCCCTGTCTACAACTCTTCGCTTCAAATGCGTTTCAAGTAACCAGCTCGATACGAANAGTCAAGTCGCAGTGCCCTGTCTACAACTCTTCGCTTCAAATGCGTTTCAAGTAACCAGCTCGATACGAAGTCCCATGTATGCAGCAGCAGTAGAAATGAGTGGAGATGTTGCAGTGACGCACTAGCATTTGAACGTCGAGGGTGTCTAGGCAGCGCTGAGCATAAGCTAATTCCGCCTCTTTGGTTTGCAACAGGGCTTCTGCTTTCTGTGCCTTGCTCTGGGCTACGCGGAGGCCGTCTTCGAAGGAGCTCCGTTTCTCCTCTGCCTCCTGCAAGTAGTGCAATAGCTGAGAGTAGCGCTGTTGCAGCGTCGTTGCCTGCTGGTCTCGCTGTTGGCGACAGCTTCTTTCAAGCAGCCTTTTATTCGTCTCCGCCTCTACTCTTTCCTGTAGATCCTTCAGTTGCTCCTCCGCCTGCAGGTGCTGGGCCCGCTCCTTACGCCTGTCCACCCAAACACATACATACAACGTCGGGATTTGTCTCTGAATGCTTCTGCATGCTTCTGAATCCCCATAGTGGCAGCGATTGCTTACTCGGCGGCCTCCCGTTGTTTCAGGGCTTCCACTGCGTCCTCATGCTGTTTCTTCAAGGCCATATTATTAAG